TGGGTGTGGAGTACCTCATCTAAGCGGGGCAGGGGGAGGGGGGGGAGTAATAACACAAATATTTTATCTCTTCTGTTATATGTCGAAATATATTTCTACTTCTATATTTAATTTCTTTTCATATTTTTTTCTTTTAATTTTATCTCAATATCACGCAAGAACTAGCCCATTTAAATATAATTATTTAAAAACAAATTTTTTTTAAATACTCCGAATTCAGGGTGCGAAATTCCGCACCCTGACGTGTCACGACCGTACGGAATCTCTGGGTGTGGAAAGCTCCACATCCTCCACAAGGAAGTCTCCGTCCCTGCCCTCTAGAAACTGCTTGCCGCGACGGGAGACGCGCTTATTATGCGCGCGGTGTGCTTGGCAGTGAAAAAACTGTAAAACACTTATCTCTCATCGGTGTCGGGAGAAGTAAAAAGCGCGATCGTGCGCGCGGCGAGTCGCGCTCGTAAAAGATTCGCCGCGAAGGACCGAAGCGCGACGCGACGCGACGCTCGCGAATATGGCGAACGCGCGGTGCTCTCGTTGCGGTGATCGTCGGATGACTTTTACCTCCGTTTAAGTCGTTGCCGACGGCCCGTCGGTCGCGCACTCCGTGCTCCTCGCGTCCTCGGCGCCTCCGGGGCCATTCGCGACGCTCGTCGAACGACGCCAGTGACTCGGAATATTCGGCAAATCGTTCATTTCGATCTCGCGAAACGACCGGCGATTCCGCGCGCTTCGAGCGCGCCGCGGCGACCTGCGTGAAGTTGCCGGCGGCCTCTGCGCGTCGAACGATCAGGCGGTCACGTGATCGCGCGCGCCTTCACGCGCCTGAAATGTCGCCGTGAGAAAATTTAAAAATAATTTGCGCAAGTAAATGTTTGCTTTCTCAGACTATTTCAAGATCGAGGGCAGCGGTGAATCTTTTGCCTTCATGGCTATCTTACAAGATAACTCTTTAGACTATTTACGGCATATAAAGAGCGTGATTTTATTAGATTCTATTTTGTATATGTAAGCTTGATTTTTACTTGACGAATTCGACTTAAAAATCTCTCTCTTTCTCTCCTCTGAGATTTCTAATCAAATATATTAATTAATAGTCTCTTTTTACGATTTCTGCATGATCGAATCAGACTTTTTGCCGAAATCGAATTTACATGCGCGACTTAATTATATTCAGGGAGCTCATCATCACTATTTCAGGGAGCTCGAGGAACATGCGAGCGACGGTGTAAGTTTCGGCGGCATTAGCGAGAGAGATCAAAGGTACATCGAGGAGATCGCGCGGCGTGTACGAAACTCGAAGAGTAAATCGAAGACAAAGTCCAAGTGCACTTCGGATAAATACCCGCGTTCGAACTCGGGCAGCCCTCGCGAAAATAGGAACGGGCAGGATCAGGCAGGTTCCTCGGACGATCGTCGCAAATTAAATTTCTAATCGTGATTTCGTAAATCAGCGCCTTGTGTGTTGTCCGTTTTTACATATATAGACTTACTGATGCACTTTCCACGATTTTTAAATTGAATACTCTATCATGTACTCTCATTAAAACTGGCTAATGTAAACATATATACATTCCATTTAAATTTCTTTAGATAACAGTATCAATCTTATTCAATCCTTATCAAGAAACATAAACGATACAACTTTGATACTTTTGATCTTAACACGTTATAATTGTCACTGTACAATTCTTCTAGAAATTAATTGATATTAAAAAATAATTATTAAATACTTATTATTATAATTTATTATACAGTGCTTTTAATATTCAAAATAAGTAATTTTTAATACTAAATTGGTCAGTATTAAATTGAATTTTTGTAAGAGAAATATATATATATATTCCTCTTACAAAAATTTAATTTAATGCTAACCAATTTAATATTAAAAATTATGAAAGAGATAATATGAAACTATTTATATACCTATATATATATGTATAGATTCAATAGATCTATACGAATTATCTCGTATTCAATAATCACTAAGTTAATATAAATCTTATAATTATTTATATATATATATATATATATATATATGTATAAATTCAATAGATCTATACGAATTATCTCGTATTCAATAATCACTAAGTTAATATAAATCTTATAATTATTTCATTTACACGCATGACACGCAGTAGGATATCTTTATCGATATCAAATGCTGAAAAATATTTATAAAGCGTTTTGCGAGAAATTCGCGAAGATTATATATTGATGAGACATGATCAGGAAACTTAAATTGAAATACGGGTGAGATATATTTGAGAATAAATATTTTTCTAAAAACGCACGCCGACATATCGCGTTTCTATGATAAAACTAAGGAACGTCGCCACCGATCGGAATTGACAAAATATAAAAATCGAAAATACTCGATGAAAACTCGTGGTAATTATAAAGGACTTTATAACAAGCTAAACCGCGCGTGTATCGAACAGCGGCGAATAAATCATGACGAATGAACCAACTTTTTTGCATCGCTGAACCCTCCGATATTTGAAAATGTACAATCAATCGTGCATCTGCCACATTTTGATTAATTGCCAAGTGCAAACTTTGTGATAAATTGATTCGCTCTTTCAGCCCCGTACCGAATTAATCCTCTCTCGCTCTCTACAATTGTTCTCTTAAAAGTAAATTGTCGATAAACACATGCAAATATATTTGAATAAAGAGGCGAAGACACGAAAGAGGGATCAAGTTAAAAAAGAAAAATATAAAAATTTCTTCTCTGTTTAAAATTTTTTTAAATTATTTCGTCTTTATCGGTTGCGCGAAAACAGTGGCGCCATCTGTGTCACAGGAACTGAATGAATTATCAAGTCGACATTCGTCGGTCCGTGATGTATTTGATAACCTCGAGTTACCTGAGATTTGAGAAAGACGAAACGAAAACAAATATCTCGTCCTTCCGGCGCGTCTCATCTCCTACCTTTCGTAATCGCGTGATTTTTCTCGAAGAAAAATTTACCGTATCCTTCACGATTATTCCTCTCTTTTTCAAGCATAGAAAAGTTCGTGGATCTCCAGCCTCTTCTGCCCACACAGTACGCTTCCTACGGAGGGACTCGATCGCCTTATTGACATTCGAGCAGCCGGGAGTGACGCGCTTAAAATTAAACTCGTGGAATTTAATCGAAATTCTGCGGATTGCAGGAACTCGTCGACAGCCTCGCCGGCAACATTGACGCGGACAACCGAATGAGCCGTCCGTCTTTTAATCTCTGCGTCTGGAGAGCGTCGCCTGCAGATAAAGTCTTAACGATCAACACGAATCCGCTTAACCGACGAGCTGCGATACGTAAACAGCGCTTTGGATTTATGAAAAATCCGATCACTCGAACGTCACCGAGGTTGGCGGATTATAATTATCGCCTTAATCGACACGAAGCCTGCACGTTTCTCTCGCAAAAATCGTGTAAATATTATTCATCTATAAGCATGTTTGTCTCTTAATTTTCTTTGATAAATTATACGGAATGGCGTTCATTCATCACCGTCGGTTCGCTACGATCGATGCTGATGTTAATTTTTAATAAATCGTTACAGCGTCCTTTTATATTGTTCGGCAATACCAGCCAAAGTAGTGGAAAACTTTGTTAAAGGCACGAATTTAGAACTCAAGCGCATATTAATATTTGAGCTCGAAAGATAATGATCCGTACAAACAAGAATTACGTAAGTATAAAAACATATAAGAAGTTATATGATCCAATTAAACTCATTCTGTGTAAAAATAATCGTGTGTAAATTAATCTTCTTTCGATTTTTTTTAATACAACCGAACCGATGCTTTACATATAGCGATTTTTTGTATTCGGAAAATATTATAATATTAAATGTGAAAGAGAGATATTATTAAAAAGCCAATTATTTGATATGGCTGGCGAATTAATTATTGCGTTAATTGATAAAGCTGTTTCTCTTATTAAAAAAAATGCACAATGATTATTAATAATTATTAAAAGTCCAAGTGATTATTAATAATCTTATGATCATTAATTTAATTAATAATCAAATAAAAAATAGTCTGAATGTGACCGAGACAGAGTATAAATATCGTGTGTATAAATTACGTTTCCATAAAAAATGTATAACTATTTCATACGCGTGTATAGTTTGTTGTTTGTTAATCTTGAAATTAATTTAATTAATTAATTAAATTATGGAGTAGCCTTTCGTCATCAACTTGCCACCATTATAATTCTCAAATTGAATCCATTATTCGATAATATCAATAAAAATATCTGTTTGCAAAATCTGTAAACATATATAGGTATATGAATTCAGAATTTAAACGCATCTTTGGGTATAACAAATAAGATAATCGTTTTCTGCATATAAACCAAAAATATCACGCGTTAGTAAAGTATAAGAGATTACAGATTCAAATAATCCATCGTTGCATAGAAAAAAAAATCCATATGCCATAATCTTTCAGAGCTTCTATCTTATACTTTGGCTACTGGGAATCCTTTGTCCATTAAGCTGCATCCGGAAAAATAGAATAGAAAAGCGTGAGGAGCAGGGGAAAACAGAATAGAGGAAGATCGTTCCCACCAGCTTTCTCAAGATAGAGGAGGGCTGTCGAGACATTTCTCGGTGGCGGCGGAGAGGAAGAAAGATCGCCGGCACGAAGACGCCGGCATAAAGACGTCAGCGCGTCCCGCCGCGCGGCCAGTCGCAGCTTGAAAATCGCGGGTGACCTGCGCCCCGGTAAAATCAATGAGCGCGTTCGACGACGAGACCGCCGACGGCAGCGCGACTTGTCGTCAGCCGCCGCGGCCGTGCGACACCAGCAGCAGCGACCGCGTCGTGCAGGGTGCCGCCGCCTGGTCCGGCCCGCAGCTCCGCCGTACCCACAGCCTCGGCACCGAGGTTTACCGCGGCGCGTCCCACGAGCCGCCCCTACGTCAGCGCGACGCGGATCATGTGAGTGCACGTGGCGGCGAGATGCCGTCGTCGGGCCGCCGCGAGGAGGAGAACATGGATCTCTGCACCGACAAGGTCCTCTCCAAGGGCAGGATCCTGCAGGAGCTCACGAAGGCCGTCAAGCTGGTGAGCGACCGACCGACCGATCGGCACACCGGCCCGCCGCCGTAGGGCCCATCCTTTCCCGTACACGCCCGTTTGCTGCTTGCGACGCACAAGCGGTCGGTCAAGCGAATTGTGCAACTCCTCACGGCCGTGCACCTTTCCCTCCCTCTCTCGAAAGCCATGGGTATCCCCTGCCTGCCTACCTAAGACCGACGTAGTTGCGACAAGTCGTGCGCCTCGGACGCTATGTAAATATATACGTGGAGAGAATACGCGGTGCAGGAAACGAGATTTGACCTGCAGTCGCCAGTCTCGAGTTCGATCTCGGACGCTTGTGGACACGGGAAGGGTGTCTTACGTCAATTGTCAATTTGCGATGGAACGCGCTATATAGGTAGTATATAGGGGAACACTCTCGCGTGGCTACGCGTGGCGTCGAACCCCGTCGGCGTTGCGTCGGTCTGTCATTCCTGACCTAGTGCCATACAGCCGTCGCGTTTCCACTGCCGGGAAGATAAACGTGGAGATTAGCCGAGAGCAGAACTTCTCGATAATTATTGCATCGTATGTGTCTTTTTTTTTTAATCTTGAATCTGAGAATCCGAAATCGGGAGGCAAGTTTTCGAGAAGCTGAATAGAAGCGACCTATGCGGTCTTGCGCGATTCATCCCGTTTTGCACGTATCGCCGCTGCTTGTTGCATATGTCGTAATATGTTTTACGCAGGCTTCCGCGCGAATCGTAATCGAATTTCACGTAGTCGTGACCGAACAGCCCGAAACAAAGCGCGCACGCACGCGATTTGTTGTTGTAACATTCAGCAGCATCAGAATTCATTAAATTCCGTGATGCTCCGATTTGATTTAAAAATTTAGCCAGAGGCGCATGGAACGAATTAATGGGATTTTTATGTTATTTTAGAACATGCGAACGAAAAAAGTTCGAAGAGTCCGTCGAAAGCTGTTTAATGCTCCACAAGAAAAAAAAAAGGATCCGCGAGTAAAAAATTTAGGATGCACCGCGACCGAGGTTTAACAAACGCGAAGTTTATTTCGTCTCGATCGCGCCGCCTCGCGCGTCGTACACGTGAAAAGGAAGAGATCGGAGTATTCGGAGTACAAGTTCACATACACAGGAGATGTACACATATATATATGCGTGACGTGACGTCGTCGCGACCTGCTCACGGATTAATCGCGACGCAGCTGCTCCAAATCGAACGCTCGTGCACGCAGAGAGGCGAGCGCGCGGTCGCAACGTGCGAGCGCTCCTCTCTCTCTTTCTCTCTCGATTTTGTGACACTTTAATACCTTTTGGAAACGTGAAATTTCCCGCTGGCGAAGGAGGCATGCGACGAGGCCCGTTCGTTTCGCTTCTTCGCCCGTCGTGCGAGCGACGAGACCGCGACGTTGCCGAGGAGTGAGTCACACACAGCTTCGCTGACACGTCCCATTGACAGCCCCGCGCGGATGTGCGTCGTACGGGAACAGCTGATAAAAAGCTCCGTCCTTTTCACCTGAAGCTTTTCCATTGTGCCATGTGTCCTTTTCACTCCGCGCGATTATTGATCGCGCCCACTTATACTTATTTCGTTCCTCTATTTCTTCGTGTGCAAAAAAGGTCTCCGTGTGTCGCTTTAAAAGGAACAGATCTAAAAATAATTGATTCCACCTGCCGATTCGGACCACTTCTGGTCCGGTGTGTCGGTAAAAGTGTGAGACGAGAATGGTGTTAGCTAAAAGTGGGAGTGCGCTCGTTCGGGAATTAAAGCATGAAGTAAAAGAAGCATCGTGTTTTCGCACTTCGGTCCAAATAACCCTCTCTCATCGCGAAAAGTTTTCTTTGTGTTCGTAAGAAGAGAGAATCTATATATAGGGCTGTTTTTTGTCGTTGAACTAAAAAACTTTCACTTTAAACTAAACTTCAAATACATATTTATCTCATTTTAAATACAACGAGAGCTCAGCTACAAAGAACAAACCTTGTGTCATATGTGTATATTGAAAACATTGACAACTTTGAGATTTTACACACTGATACGTTTCAGTTGTATTCTTTGTGTTTTAATTTATACAAGTGTTTTATACATTTTTATTTTGTGTTGTCACACGCATTTCTGTATTGATAAAAACACTGTATTGAGAATAACACATAAATGTCTCGTGACAGGTCTATGCCCAGAGTCTCTACGGTACCGTGGTCTTGGACGGTGACTCCTGGTTGGTTTACTGGCTGGATCGTGCATTGCGCCACGGACTGCGCGTAGAGAGACATGGATACTGGGGCACTGCCAGAGAGCTCAGCCACCAGGACACAGTCGTGGTCATACACGCACTGCAGAGTGTATTGACTTCGATAGGGAAAGGTATGCTTTGACACCTCGTCGCAGGAATAATGTATTGAACAATAGGTTTACATCTGCACTTTCTGCTTTGTTTAACTCTCTGATTAAAATGCACCTTGATAGACATACAATCTCTGACTTTATTCTGTCACGAAGCTGTTGAACAGATTTAAAAGCAGCGATTTGCATTCTGCTATAATTAACTCGCGTGTGTGTGTCTCTGCTGCACGTTATACAAACAAAATATAATTGTATTACCTTAAATTACCTGACGTAGAAAAATTTCCGTGATCAATTTTGGGATTTTAAGGATCTTTATTTGGGAGTGAACATTTGTTTGTCGTATAAAAATGCATCTAGATACAATACAAATAAAATATAATTATAGTGCCTCAAATTACCTGACGTAGGAAAACTTCTACGATAAATTTTGAGATTTTTTAGGATCTTTATTTGGGAGTGAACATTTGTCTATGTATAAAAATGCATTTAAATATAAGTATACAATATATTCCTTGCTAATGTTCTTGAATTGTTCATACCACACAGGTCGAGCATGGCTCTACCACACCCTGAGCGAAGGCAGTTTTGAGAGCTATCTGGCCTGTTTACTGCGAGACACGAAGACATTAAAGAAACAGTACTTTCCACATGCACTCGTGCGAGATGTTGATAAGACCAATCAATTGGTTAATCTTCTCGCCGGTCTGGAAAACGTGTCCTTCACATTGCAATTGGTATGTTAAATCTATATCGATGTAATAAATAACAACTTTATAAATAATCTACGAAGTAGCAAGCAGTAGCAGTTTCCACAGAACCGAATCAACTTTCTCTCTTTTTCCCTGTTCAACGTTCGTCGTGTAATTTTTATTTCACTTATCCCTACGTAGAGATACCAGTATCACCCCCTGGTTACACTTATCGCGCTAATGAATAACATCAATCTCATAACAAGAGTCACACACGTACAGTTTTGATAGATTGTTGTGTATAAAGTTGCGAGGGGCAAGAGATTATCGTTTTATTTGCACATTTTATTTCGTGTGTACGGACTACATATCGCTCAGCTTGCTTATTCGTGGAAAATTTTCCTATTCCAATCAATGTTGCTCGAGGGGGGGAAAAAAAAAAGATATTTGCATTTAGAATTATCTGAAGTTGTTAGATTAATATGCAGTTGATAACTCGGTGATCTATATACTATGCGATAAAACTAACGCTGGGTGTAAAATTGTGTGTATAGGATGTGACATATTTGGACATCTGCAACTACATGCCACAGAGGCCTATGAGCGTAAATCCATCGGGAACAGTCTTATCGTTGCATCTAAGATCCTCTAGCGTTTCATCGAGCCTAGCCTCTCCGGGGGACAGTGGCGTTGCGTTCGACAGCGACATGGACATGGCAAACGAGACTGACGGAAGCAGTTACAAGGAGGTAAGATATAGATCCGATCAGAATTGTGGCAGAAAAATCTCCATATTTGCGCCGAATAATTACGCATTAAAATGTATGAAATTTGACAATAGATATCCAATAATTGGCAATTAAGAGTCCACGCCGTTGTTGGTATATATTTGGATTAAGGTAGAAGAATTTTTACACACCAACAACGGCGTGGACTTTTAATTGCTTGTTATTAGATACCTATTTTTGAGAGTCGTAACTATTCATTATTATAAATTTTAACGCAGGAGGATTATCCGATGGACGATATTCCTAAATACCGGAATAACAGGTACAAGATTATCAGCAATCGCATGGAGGACAATAAGAACTTTGGATCCAGCGACTCGAGCGAGGACGGCAAAACGCCGACGCAGTCACCGGCGATCACCAAATTTCAGACTGCTATGATGACGAAAAATGACATAGTCAATCAGAACGTAACGCGAAAATTGGATGACAATGAAATGAATTGCTCCAGCTTGGAGACTCTCAAGGACTACGATTTCTACAGTAAGAGTATGGACGAGACGAAATTGGATAAAACGAACAAGATCGATAACGGCGTGAAGGACTTCAGTAAGCGAAGCACTTATTACAGCGAGAGTCCCGCTTACAGCTTCAAAAAGAGCGTAGACCCTCGTAATTCTTACGTAATCAATAACGATACAAATCTGTTGGAGCTGAGCATGACGATCTCCGACTGCGACAACATGGACGCGCCTTACGGTATCCTGAACACGATCAACATGTCCGACACCAGCATTCTATCTTCCTCCAGTTCGGAGGCCATAGTGCAACGTAGGCAGCGCAAAAAGAAGCGCGGCGAGAGCAAGAAGCGGGTCAGCTTCCACGAGGACATCCTGAAAACGATGAAGCTGGAGGACGACGAGAATTTTGCCGACTTCTCCATGAGTTTCCTGCTGCCCAGCTCCGTTCTGAAGAGGGACGCTCAGAAGGGCAGGTACAGCTGGTGCGCACACGGGGACTCGCCGTACGTGCAGAGGAGCGCGGACGACGGCAGGAACGTGCACTCGGACTGCTACTCGTTCTCGTCCTCGTCGTCGAGCGGCGCGTTCGACGGCGACGGAACCGACAAGCCGTGCGTCGACATGCCCGCGTGTCAGCGCAGCTGCAGGTGCAACTGTAATTTACCGTTGTTGGAGCGCGGAGCGCCGGAGGGTCAGGAGGACCCGGGCAAGAGTCTGAGGCCTAAGATGGAGATAGAGCTGGGGGAGAACGAGGCGCAGGAAGCCTACATCGTCGAGAAGGCGTGCGGCAACATCGTCGAGGACCCGCCGGTCAAGCTGGAGATGCCGCAGTCGGTGAACCCGAAGAATTACGCGAGCTCGAACGACTGGTCGGATGCGGACAGCGTGACGACGTCCGATCTGGACGAGCGCAGGAGCGGCAGTCGGCACTTGCTCTCGCCGTCGAAGAAGCGCAACGTGACGGCGATACTGACGGGCGAGAGTAGCAACAAACTCCTGGCGCCGCCTTTGCGCCAGGCGCCGTCGAAGACGTCGTTGCTGAGCAGATTTCTAAAGTCGATCACCGAGCGGAAGTTCGAGATCAGGAAGAACAAGAAGCCGAAGGCGAACACTCTGTACATCAAGGGGATCAAGATGAACTACGATTCCTTCAAGGATTTCAACGACAATCTCGACAAGGAGATCCAGGAGAGCGTGGCCGCCGAGAAGCAGGTGTTCAGCGGCGAGAAAGTGAGCCTAAAGCTGCGCGAGCTCTTCAAGCGGCATATCTATCGCGACAAAACGGAGGAGCTGTACAAAGTATACAAAGTGCGAAGTTCGTACATGACGAACGGCGAGAGCAAGCCGATGATCGCGTTATTGACAGACAAGACGCTGTACTTGACCGGCTCGAAGATGGACCACTCTTACAGTAATCAGTTTGTTATTCCTTACAATGAACTGGATGTTATTATGGTGAGGAACATTTAAATAATATATACTTACTTCTCATGACATGCACATTGCTTGCGAGATATGTCTTATCAAATGGTACTTTGCTAATTAATATACGGTTTTTTTTTTATATATGTATAGATCGGCCCGAATGGACAAAGTATTTTAATTTCCAACGCCGATTGCGAAATGCAGTATCTATTCTCCACTGGCAGCTCGCAAACTACCTCAGAATTAATCGGCCACTTAGAGATGGCCATGAGACGATCGCCGACGAAACCGAGGCTTCCTGCTGTTAAAGAATTGAGCTACGAAGATATGCACATTCTGAGGAATTCAATTCTTACTGATACAGCTGTACATCCCGTACGTAAACTATTTTCAGAAATTGCGAAGAAATTGTATAGTTTTCTTAAAAAGTTTCTTTAAAAAGATTAAAAAGAAATTTTTCAATCAGAAAAAGTTTATCAAAACTTTCGAAATTTTATTTGTTATCTTAATAATTAAATCACAAATTAATATTCGATTAAAATAGAATTTATTTTAATGCAGCGGAATACTTTGTGTTTTTTTTTACTTTCAATGATTAAGTTTTAAAAGGAAATATTAGTATGAAATATTCTATATTTTGCCAATTGCGGACATTTTGTACATATGTAAATTATCTATTGTATTAATTAAATCACAAATTAATATTCCATTAAAATAGAATTTATTTTAATGCAGCGAAATAATTTGTTTTTTACTTTCAATGATTAAGTTTTAAAAGGAAATATTAGTGTGAAATATTCTATATTTTGCCAATTGCGGACATTTTGTACATATGTACATTATCTATTATATTATATTATATACGTACAGGATCTACTTTTTACTTATTTACATTGTTTTTGCAGGATGAAAAAATAGAACATTACAGCCTTATTTATATGGAAGACGAACACATGTCGCCGCCTAGTACGCCGTGCGGGCCAATGAAAGAGGGCGATCTGATGTTCCGGCCGCACACCTATCAGCACTTGCATCCGAACGCACCCACGCATCCCTGGGAGGCCGGCTATTTCGTTCTGAAAGGCGGAGTGGTTTATATGTTCGCGGATTCGAATCAGCGGCTTCCCAAGCGTGCTATACCGCTGAAAGGCGGCTTATGCCAAGGCTGCAGAAGAATCCCCAACTCCCATCGGCCGCACACCTTCGAGATACTGCTGAAGCCCAACAAGTCGTACCAGTTCGCTGCCCCGGACGAATACGTGGCTTCCGAGTGGTTACAGAGCTTCGTTCAGAGCGCGTCGGGTCTGTTCGACAGTACGGAAAAGAGAGAGCCGTTACCATGCAGTCTTATCACGACCACGAAACACCTGGTGGCGATGAAGGAGGTCCATCCCGGCACGCAGAGAGGCCAGACGCTCTCGTGCGCTTCCATCAAAGATCTAACGGCGTTCAGGGTACCGTTGCTACAGCAATCGTGGTGTATATTGGTAAATATATATATATATATATATATATATTAAGCGTAGGGAGCATGCAAATTGTATACAATTGTATAAAGTACGCAATTTGTATGTAAATTGTTACTTCTATGTTTTGTCACCGAATGGAGTTTGCCAGTGGAGTTTATATTGTCGTATATCTGTAGGAATTCGCGTGTCGAGAGGTGCACGAAAGTAGCGGCGATTGGGTCATATACTTCACGAATTATAGCGAGCTCCGTGCTTTCAAAGAGGTCCTGGAAACATTGTGGACCGATGCAAACTTGGTAAGATACATCTCGCAAAGCGGCTGTGCATCGTAATATCGTACACGGGCTGATGTAATCTCTTTGTTTCTCGCAGGGCGAATTCCCTATGGCAACACTTCCACCGGAGGACAAATTGCAGCGACGTTGCTCGGACGCCAGCAGGGATTTGGAACACGCCTGGCGGTACTTGCTGCCACCGGCTCTAGAATAAATAGAAGATTCGACCGATAGACAATATATACACCGTCATTCGAGAAACTATTTTATCATATTGCCATAAAAGAGACTCTCGTAAAGGTAGAGAACGTGAAGCGGAACTCTCGTACAACAGCAACGCACGCGCATATTCAGGTAAACGAATTGAATATTGAAAATTCAAACATTACAGTGTATCGTATGCCAAAGATGAGTCGCTTATACAAATACACAAATCTTCTTTGCTTCGGTTGCAAATAAAATGCCATATATCTGTCACTTGGAACTAGAACAGTCGGTGTTATTTTGTGGCTTAACTCTAAAGTAGAATCATAGTTTATGTCCTTATTTGGACTGGATTTATGGCGTAATATGATGAATTTCTAATTTCAAGATACAAATATATGTGCAATATATTCTCGCTATATCGCGGTGTTGATGAGAGATTGAGCGTTATCTTGCATATAAGATATATAAGTTGCCTCAAACGTATAGATAACTATTTAGGGAGATCGCAAAAAAAAAAAATGGTGCATTATCTTTCTTGTAGCGTAAGCCACCATTAATAAGCTCTACTATTAATTTATAACGATACGCAGAGAATGTAATATAATGATAACTGTGAGACACTATTGATTTACTATATGAATGTCTATATATTCACGTATATTGAAGAGACGAACCAGTATGCATTTGAATACGCACGATTGATAAAGTAGATATTTATCGTCCGAGATGATATGAAATTCACTTATTATAGCTTTGACAAAGAATAATAGTAAAATAAATCGCTTTTGAAATTGATATATATATGATTTAACATTCCTGCTGCTATTTGAAATTGTAAATCCATTTCTTACTTTTAGCGTCACGACTTCCTACGTATCACCTTGTGGTACGTTTCAAAGTTGTAAAATTTTATTCCGCACCTATTTTAATTTTGTTTAAATGTACAAATGCAATGCGAGCATAATAATTGTATTATATATATTACGTATTAATTTAGTTTAATACAAATATTAAATTAGTTACGAATATAGGTTGTATCAACTTATGTTGTGTCGTGCAATATATTATAATTTTTGAATGGTTGCCGTTTTATGAAATAATAGCGAATTAAAGTGACACAAAGATTATACCAAAACGATTATAAATAATTTATGACTCGAAAATTATTGAGTTTTAAATATATGCATAATACAGTATGAAATTATATATAAGATATATAAGAAAAGCTGTACATGAAAATGAATTTTATTTGTGATATAATAATAACACGTATACATATATCAATATCGTTGGGGATAAGATATTTGTTATGATCTTTTTAAGTTATAATCCTGTGTTACCAACGGCTACATGAACGGATGCACACTCGAATATTTTTGTGAACAAATATTTGACGTCTGCATTATTTCATGTAGCTCTCGTACGTGATTGTGATACGCTATTAAGTAATAAATGTCAGCTACTGTTAAGTTCATGAGATTCCTATGTGAGGTTTATGTAAATTAAAACAAAACAAAATACCGCGCGAAGGTGAGATCGGTTTTATATGTTAGTGCTGTGTGTGAAAAGTATGCGGAGTTAAATTTTCTACAAGTTACAGCCAGGCATGTTTTAAATATTACATCCGTATACCTTTCACAGACAAAGAATTCTGTATCACCGTACACACAACCTGCAAGTTATAGTTATTAGAAAATTAATAAAAGTATACAAAAATAATTTGACCGAACAATATTTTTATTTTTGCTCGTCCTTTTACATCACTTGAAAATGTAATACATTACATGAGAAGGAAAGATATGAAGCACCTTCGAATTCACAATTTATATAGATTTCAATAACACTGGACGTTTTCTTAATCTTTTATTTTATATCCTTTTATTTTGTACCATATTCTCAATTCTCTCTATCATATATATTTCATGCATTATTTAAGAGCTTTGGAAGTTTTCAGTATAATTCTTTCATTTTAGTTATTGTAGTTCTCTAATAGCGAGAGAGAATTCTACACTAGATAATATTTGTTTTATCTATACATGATCTATAGTACAAACAGTATATATGCGATTAAGCAGTATATATAATTAATTCGAGTTAATTTGAGGATTTGAATCTTAGACACGATAAAAAAAAATACTACATATAAATTTACATATTTATATACTGTATTAGCGATCGAGTATCTTACATTCACAAATATAACAGATGTTCAATAATTTGCTACTCTATCAACAGGAATTTCACCTACATAGGTACAGTGTGACCTCTTGCTCTCTTGGAGGATCTTGTCGCTTCTATATCAACATTTGGAAACTGTTGTTTCAGCGCCTCGATATCTACATTCGGGAATCTTTTTATTATCATCGCGACACGATTTCTGTCACGTCTGAAAAGAGAAAAAATTTTTTTGTTAATGGAAATAAATAGACTGAGAGATATATGTCATATTGCGTGTCGTGTACGCGTTACGAGAAGTAAAAGCAATTGCTACGAACCTTGTAGCTCTGCGTTTCTGACTCCAAAGTTTCTCCTTGTACAAGCGCAGGAATTTTCGAGTTGCGAATCCGCCGAAGCCGAACAGATGCGTCTTGTGCCATTTCGTGTTCATGAACTTTGGAATGACGTACTGCCGCATTCGGTAGTAAAACCTTAAACCTACAAAGAGTTAAAACAAAAACTGTTATTTTATTCTTTATTATTGTAATTTTTCTAAGATCAAACTTTTTTAGCTGTAAACATTTAACAATATTACACACTATATTATGAATGGTACAGATTTTATACCTAAGATATTATAGACCAGTTTTCCAGGACGCTCTCCCGTCTCGCCGGTCTCGAGCAAATGATACGCCCTGTTTCTTTCGCGAACGACCGACTCCAAGTTGTCCATGCTGTCCTGAATTTTGTCCAGACGTTCGGGATTCGGGAAGATCTCGTTCGCATTCTTGCACGCCTCCTCCATGGTCATGAGCATGTTACGTTCCTTCAGTAACACGAACCTACATTCAAACACATTAATCCGTAAGATTCATTCAAAGAAAACAGACGAGAACACATGAACACTCGGGATAGGCAAATCTCACCATAATTTGTGGAGGTCCGAATTGCTCTTCAATCTCAATTCATCCTTTTTCCAAGATCGGCCGACCCGTACCTCGTTCTTTCCCCAATTCTTCGGATTGTCAAAGAATTCCATCAGATCACGTCGTTCCGACGTGAGGTGTAGAAATGCACAGTGCAAAGTCGGTGTACTGTATTTATGAAAAGAAAGCATTAAAAAATCATCTTTTCGACCTTCATTCTTATCGCTATTTAAAGTGGTTCTTCAGTAAAGTGCCAAAAATTTGGGGTGCCTCACCAGGGTCCACCCAAAATCACAAATATTTGTATAATTTGGATAAAACTACATGTATATATCTAATAAAATAGTATAAAATAAACGATATTGCTACTATTAATAATAATGAGGAGAAGAAAGTAAAGTATAATGTAATTCAACATTAAATATCTTTCTAAAATGACCAGTGACCTGTTACTTTTTTGTGACTATTAAAAAAATCATAATTTTTTAAACTATTACAATCTCGTTTTTGTTTTTTTTATAGAAAAGTCTTACATCACGTTTGTGTGCAGTTTATCAAAGAAACGTTTCCGAGCTCAACCTGCCACTAAGTTATAAGTGAAATGTTACATTTTCAACATTTTTCTTTCCTCTTATTTCATCAATAACCTACCCTAGAATTGTGTACAAGTCAAGTTTGGCACTTCAACTGCATTATATAAAGAAAGAATTAGACACATTTCTTAAATAACTCGATTTACTAAAGAGCCACCTTCTTAAAGCAGGGTTGTGCCATAGATTTCAAGATTACGTCTACACGGATTATTTACGTAAAATCTATGTGATGTTTACATGGTCTTTTTGTTGCGTAGACAATTTAGACTTGTAAACCATGTAGACTATTGTAAATTGTATCACTAATATAT